TTTTTTTTTTTTTTTTGTACACACAGCAAATATTTGTTGTCTGGTTTTGTTGGACTGGATTATTCTTATATTTAAAATAGTGTTTCATTTTCCTCAAGAACACTGGTACTTTCTTCAAATATAAAACCCTTTGTGTTTTATGTTTGAAGGAAAAAATGGTGGTTATGCATGTGGCAGTGGAAATGAAACAATGTTTTAAATTGAGTATTCTATCCTTTTTTTTCCCGACAAAAAAAGATTTTTTTTTTTTCATTTGTAATGTTAATGGCCTTTTTCATAATGGAATTTGATTGGCTATGACTGTGTTAAATTAAACAAGTTTTTTGTGCCTCTTTTTCCCCCTTTTAATTTTAGTAGAGATTTCTTGGGCGAGCACATTCAATGTAATGTATATATAATTACAATTCAAAAATCAGAATTAATATATACATTTTGAACCTCCGGACAATTAAAGAATAATAATCAAAGCTGATCATGGCAATTCAAGTAATTACTAGAGTTTGGGCTCAAGCTTTTATTGAGTTTAACTGAGCTTGTGTTTGAGATCCACTTGTTGATCAATATTATATAAACAAATTATATAAAGTTCATTATTTTTGAGCTTTAACAAGTCAATCGGTCAAATCATGCATGAACAAATGTTTTTATTAAAAAATCCTACTAATGATATAAAAATGACACGGAAGAAATAATTTGAATTTTTTTATTTCATATATTAGTTATTGTGTCAACTTTTATTTAATTAAGATATTATTGGCTTAGAATTTGTGTCACTTTTGTCATGTTCTTCTTGTATAGTCAAGAGACAATATTTCATGGGTCATGGAGTACAGTAATTATTGAGACAAATTAAATATCCTTCAAACTTCAAATCTGCAACGCTTTCTAATCAACGTTCAAACCAAAAACTGATATTCAGTTTTACTCTTCAAATTCAAGATTTCTAATTGAATGGAAATTAAACTTGTAATTAAATGTAAACTGCTTTTGTCAATTAGCTAGTTTGCTATTTATTGAATTGAATGAAAAAGCTAGTAAATGTAAACTGCTTTAAAATTACCTCCTCCACTAGAGATTCTCTAGATTCAATAATTTAAAAACTACACTATTCATAATTGCAACAATTAATACACTAAATAATAAAATTAGTAACTTTTATATATTTATACGGATATATGGACAGCTTCATCATTAACATCCATGACTACGTACTGCAGTATATATAGTTATCGGTTTTTGAATCCAACGGCAATTAAAAATTAGTGGTTCCATTACAGTACTTACCGACGACAATATTGAAAAAAAAAAATCATTTGTACTTAGAAGTACAAATGATAAAGCTGTATTTAGTTCAATTTATTTATCAATTTATAGTTATTAGTCAAAATTTTATTAGAAGTCTCTGTAAAGTGGTCCAATAGTCATGAACTTACATAAAAATAAAGGTGTATTTAGTTCCCAGAACTTCATATGTTAATCTTCTCTCAGTTCCATCTATCTTTTCATTAACATTTCATAAAATTTGCAGATGACAATGATAACGTCAATTGTAATTAGGAGTACTATTTATATGTATTTTACTCTGACTTGAGTTTTATTGACTTGATAATATTATTATATTATTTGAGGTTCATGTGAAAATAAGGTATTAATTATTATATGATATACTATCAAATTTCAATTCAGGCGTGCAAACCTGATATTGTAATCAATGTGTGAAATTTCAACGTGGCTCAATCAATCATTGCGGTATATATCGTGACTTTTACATATCAAGAAATTTTTGACGCCTATCTGACCACACTTCCCACTTATAATTAATTGTAAGAAAATTCGATTATTAATTATCAATTTGGACGATCAGGTCAGGTCACCATTTTAATAATTGTCAACCATTATTATATATATGGAACAAATTACACAGTATTAATTTGTCAAATACATTTTAAATTCCAATTTCTTTAATGTTTTATGAATGAATGAGAGCTAATTAAGATTACCTCAACGTATTTGTCATAAGTTGTATTCTTTTGTCCCCTCAAAATATGAAAGGGCACGACACGTTGACACTAATAATTAATAAACGAAATTATATTGTACCAAAAAATAAAAAATAAAAATAAACGAAATTATAGTACTCTAATAATTAGTAAAACTAGATTTAGACATTCGAATAATATTTTTACTATCAGGGTTTAATTAATTATTCGCTAGCTAGCTAGCTTCCACTATACTTAAAAACTAAAATATCGTGATTTTCCTTAAAACTAAAAAAGATGGTATTCACTTAAATCACTAGAAATTATTCTCATTGTTCCTGAATTTCTTTTTATTATTATTGAAATTATTGTCATTGTCAAATGAGTTCAATAAACATTTTATAGTAGCTTTTTATAGTATAATGATAATTTATTTGGTGATGATGATGCTCGATCGTAATAATCAACACTTGATGTGATCCTTTCCCGGAAAAAAAAAAAGTATTCATGATATTATCATATTGACACTAATTACAACAGACATGTATTAATAATCACTATATTAATTATACATGTAATTGTTTTTACTCAAATGATTTTGTCTTTCTTCTTTTCGTCCCGCATTGTTTTATTTTGGGTTCATTTCATAATAAAATTAATAATAATTATATAAGTGAAAATGAATACAAGTCACACGCCAACATTGCATTCTGTTGACGTCATTAATGATTATTTTTTTTCCTTACTATTTCGGTCGGGCACAATATATTGGTAAGATGTAAAAAAACTAGTTCCAAGGATTTCATAAAAATACATTGTTTTTGCGGCTTAAATAATAAGATGTGTGTGAATTAAAATGGACTAATACGGGCCCGGCCTAATGCGTTAAAACATTTACTTTTCAGTCAGTCGGTTAATTATTTGGGCCGGTGTTGTACATCTCAATAATTGGGTTTGGGCCCATATATATCTACTTGGGGAATCTTCTGGCTAGGCCTTGCGGAAAATAAAGTGGACATTGGTGAGAACCATATAAAAATAGGATAGTTTGGACTGAAGAATAAGAAGAAGAAGAAGTTAACCCATCGATTTTGAAATATTAAAACCTATTCATATATATTATCAACGTAGAAATTATTAAGGTAAATAATAATTTTCTGTCCAATACATATATATTGTTATGAGCCATTAATCCTCCCTATATATAATTCCTGAATGCGTTGAGCCTACGTGGCTGTTTCTGGTGCTTCGAAATCCTACTTGGCGAAGAATCATGCTTCGTAATTAGGTTTGAACAAATAATATTGATATATTAATAATTAATAATCTAGGTTCGGACATTTCATAAATATTATTTAGCTAACTTAGGTATTTTAATATCACTTGTACTAATATAACCCTTTAATTCTTTGTAATTTTATATAGTAAGACACTAAATGACTAATATATCCCTGACTTTTAATTTGTTTCCTTGAATTAGCCATTGAATTGTAAATGTATATTAAAAGTTGATAACTTTTGTATTTTTTATCGGTTTTGCATGTATAATATATCAAATTAATCATATTTTGATGATCTTCGATTTGACATCCATATTGTATATATGAAATAAATAATTTATATTTATCCTTATAATAATAATAAAAAAATATTTATTAAATTCATTAGAAACATATATATTGTTATGAGCCATTAATTTTATAGTGAATCGAAAAGATTAATTCAACACTTTTGAGAGTCCGTTTAATGATTTCTGAACTTATACTACACATTAATTGTGACTCAACAAATTTAGATTTAGTCATTCATCATCCATGCATATAGATTACATATATGGTTGTCGAATGCATTGGAGACGATAATTCAAATCAAACTAGCATTTCGTTCATTAATTATCACGTGTTAAACTTGAAATTAGATCAGATGTTGGTTTAATATTAAAACTTTTTATGAAAAAATAAATGATACTCTAGTAATAATTGATAAGTCCATATATATATCTGCTGACCAAAGAATGGACAAACGACGTTTCCTTCCAATAATAGAACGGAAAGGAAAACTCATATATAGCCTGCCTGTGATGATATCTTTACTGTTACTCAACAACATCCAAGTGAACTTAAAAAAAAAATAAAAATATGCTTTTAATGCATACATATTATATCACGCCTAGCAAATATAAGTAACGTGCCAAAAAGTAATGAGATGGAATGATTACAGATTCCACACCTAAAGTTTGGAGTAGTATTCACAGAATTAAATACCCAAAAGATTATTTTAATTACAGAAAAGAAAAACCATTATTTGAGGTTTAATTTCAATTAGAATTTGAATTATTTTCAATGAATATTAAAAAAAAAAAAGAAACAAATTGTATCCTGCAAAGTTATTTGGAAATATATTTATTTTAATAATTATACTGAAATTTAAGAAAAGCAACCATGCAAAGATGATGTATTGGACACAGTGAAGGTTGAAGTTATTACATTATTGTGCTCATCGATTCATTTATATTTATCATCATTGGATTATAAACACGAAGAAGAACTAAAATACTACTACCTACGTAGTAGTAATTGTGTGATGCCAATGCCAGGCACCGACAGTTTTGTGCCTGTCTTAAATTTAATGCGTGCTAACTAAAGTTGCAGCAAATCAATGTAGTACGTACTATTGTCCACCGTAAATTTGACTTCAAATCGTCAAAGTTCAAACAAATGCTAATAATATATTAATAATTAAAGTAAGGTGGAGAATATGAAGCACAAACAACGATCACGCCAAATATGCCACGTCACTCATTAATTACTAAGTAGTAGTTTGCACGTCTCATTTTAGTCTCTAAACGAATGAAATATGCTTATTTGGTCAAGCAACTAAA